AAAATATGTGTTTTAGAATGAAGATTACTTTACTTTGAAGAACATTATCAATAAAGATGTTTATAAACTTGAAGAATATACTATAAAAGATTTTAATACACAGGACACATCCATATCTAATAATTGCAAACAATAACATCATTCTCAATTTCACAAATTAGTCTTGGCAAATATGAATGTATATTGTCGAACATTTTCAATAAAAAGACACGGCTATGTGTTGTTACAAGCAAACAATGTAGCTTTTGTCATATCAAATAAATTACAAAAATATTTACCTATATGAACTACATAAATCGTCAGTCGTCTTTAGTTTGTCTGTTTTTTATTCTTATGGAATGCAAAACTTTGCTGAGGTATCACAAAAGTCATCGCTTCTTATTCTGCAAAGTTGAAATAAATACATCGGCAATGATTCACTTTTTAGGTTTACAAAGATGCAATTATCAAAACGTAAACGTTAAAACATTAACCATCAGCCAGCGATGGCGTAACCCACCCGTATTTCTCGTGCGTTTTAACAAGAGATCTAAAGCTTTCTTCGGCAGCTCGTTTATTAAATATCTTTTGTCCTTTGGTTTTCCGCTGAATACGACCCTGTCCTTTAACCACACTCGCTGCAAACTGCATTATAACCGCCTCAACAGTATATGCACTGGCCCATCCTCGAGGTGTCAGTAGTTCCATACAAATGGCACCACCTTCCATAACAAACCCTTTTTCTATACGGGGAGAAATGACTCGCATGAAAGGAGGTGCAAAAGGAAAATTCTCTGGAAATACTAAATTGAGTAAAATAAAACTGACTCCCAATTCGGTCATGTCGTTTCCTAGAGGACTTTCCAAGTCTATTTTATGAAGCTTTACTTGCCATTCGAATAAGTTATCGTCTACTAATTCTACCGTGAATACGGGATCTAATCGCGAATTTTGCAGGCGCTGAAGATCGCGAAACTCTTTCATGAGGCGTCTAGTGCGGACCGTTTTGTTAGATGGGGTAGATGTCTCCTGACATTTTTTGTTTCCTGGTTTGGTGTTTGCGAAGCCAGGACTTCCTGGCGGATTAGCTGCAGGTGATACGGTATCCCGGCATCCCCGAAGAAGACGTCTTGCAGGAGAACCATTAGACGACGTGCCAGCTTTACTTGGATCTTCACCTTCTTTATTTGATGAGCCGAATATTCGCCGAAATATCGAAGACACTTTTCCTTTTGAACGAACACTCATGTTTCTTGAGCACCTTTTGATAAGCTATTTAATCTATTTACCTGAAAAAAAAAAGAAATCATAATTAAAACGGTGCAATGCATCAACATCTTAATGTTTCTTCTTTTTCG